TGTGAGTTTAGCAAAAAAAATAGCAAAATATATAATCTGGAAGAACACAGGCATATTGAGAAAATCAAGGAGCATTAAATAAACAAAATCAACTTTGTGGTTTTTTAGACCACAGCACAAGTGATGACGGTTTGTTTTGGTTTGTGTGCTTGTTATGTCAATCTATCTATCAGGGGTTTGAGCTGTTTTACTGAGCCCGTGCCTGGGACTGCACACACTCTGTTACACACTGGTTTTCCCTCTGACACTACACTAGCTTTCACCCTGAAGCTCAGTATTATTTTATGCCATGTGTTAATTTCTTGCATGAATGCCTTATTTACCTTCATTTAGAGTATGCTGCAGGTGGAAACAGAACAGTACTTACTGGCAATATTTTTTGTGGCAAAAACCTGAAGGACAGCTCAGGGTCTTACATAGCTCCAGGGTATCACCACTGTGTAAGCAATTTGGAGGTGTGATTTGTCATTAAGGAGGATCAGTTTCTTAAATACTGGTGCTCCACAGGACTAACCATGAGTATGAAGTTCTGCAGTCTCTTCAAAGCAAGCAGATCTAACAATTTCTGGGCTCCATCCAAAAGCCACTCAAGTCAATAGGAATCTTTCCTGGAATTTCAGCCAGCATTTGATCAAGCCCTCAGAACAAAAACACTGCTTTTTGTTTGAAAGTGTCTGGTAAGAACAGCTGAACTCTTGGGCTAAAATTAAAAAAAATTATGTAAAAACTGAGTAGGGTTTTGTTGGTAAGTTGTTAGTGGGTATCAGTAGCTTTTCTAGCTACCTTTCCCCCCCCCCTTCTTGTCAGATACAGTATTTACTGCACATTGTTCTGGTTTTTTTACTATTACAGAAGTTATATTCATGTGATTTACATCAGTTTTCCTGTAACTGAAGTGCACTGATTTTAGTAGTTGTAGTTACAGTGTGTCTTTAAAAAGGGTAGGTAGGTATGCATATGCATCCAGACATTTTCACCCAGTGCAGCAAGCTTTGTAGAAGATCTGTTCAGTGCTACATCATGTAGAGGGGTCATTCCTTCTCAGAGTTTTGCAGTGTTTTCCTTTGTTACCTGGGTAGGTTTTGATTTTCAAAAAGATCTTTTAGACACTTGCTCAGCAAAGTGACCTTTCAGTCAGCTTGGATGTTTTGTATCTGTTTTGCTCTGCAACCATTTGATCCTCTATTAATGATCTTCCAAACACTGAAGCTGGTCTTTTCCAAGAATTAGGGTACACACTTTTTCTCAGTTAGTTTTAGTGGCTAAATATATGGCTAAATTCCCTAGGCTGTCTGGGCAATGAAAGTCTAATTTTTATATTTTTCTTTTTCCTCTTTCACCATTCTCTTTAAAGGCTAATAAAGCTACTTTTCAGTGATTATGTATGTATTCAGCAACAAAGAGTTTTTAATGTGTGTGTTTCTGTGTTTGTGGTATTGGATGATTATCAGAGATATTCACATGTGTATGAATGCATGTATATATATGTATGTATATATATAAGCTTAAACCATAATTGTGATAGAAAATAAATGTAGCTAGATGTAAAGCTTTAAAGTTTCTATGTCATGTGCTTCTCTTTTCCTAGTTTCAGTAGTGGTGGCAATGCTAATACTCCTTTTAAAGAAGTGAACGATGCATCAGAGAGAAGCAGATATACTTAATGGAAAACTTTTCTGTGGTAGGTTAGATAGAGGGCTTTGGCAGGTTTTTTTTTTGTATTTTCTTCTGTAAAAGTGTTCTTCACTAGGTGTCCCAAGTATCAGGAATTCAGTATCAGAAGATACAAATCTTCTAAACATCGAGTGTTTTTTTCCCGAATCAAGCAGTCCTAAGCCTGTAGTATAGACAGACAGACAGATAAAGAGTTCATTTGGCTTACAGTTCAAGGATTTATTGTATTTCAGCCTAAGTACTTTTATGAAAAGGATATAAAAAGCTAAAAAGTGAGACTCAGGATACTTTTAGTAATCTTTTTCTTGATTTCTGCGTTTATCCATGTAAAACTGACATCCAGCACATCACTGGAACCTCTGTAAACACTTAGCTGCAGGACTCCACAGAATTGAAACAAATAGCTTTGAAGAATTTTGTTTGGGCTGTCCTTAAGAATTAGGGAAAAAAAAAATAAAAAATCAGTCCTCGTCTTTGAGCACAAGCTGATCTTTCTGGTACCTTTGCATCAGATAATTATTAAAGTTTCCAGAAATTTCTGGGAAAGAGAGCCAAGTTTCTCCAAATTCTAAATAAAAATATGCACAGAACCTGTACATTTTTGGACATGTTGCTTACTTCTTTACTGTGGAGAAAAATGCTTTTATTAGCAAGGCGTCACTGGAACCTGCAAAAATATTTGGCAAGAACTTTGAATTGTCATTGCACATTCAAAGGCAGCAGACAAAATATACATATAGACATTTCTGAGGACAGAACGGACTGATGCAAACTCTTGCTGAGAGAGAGCCAAGATGATCAGATCTGCTTGGTCATAAAAGTTATTCACTGGCAAGCTTACAGTTTAGAATGTCAAATTATTAGGTCTTTCTGGCATGTTATGATTTTCCTAATTATAATAAGTTTACAGATTTTGTTGATGATGTCACCACAGAAGCATAGAAAAGAATTTGAATCCCTAATTGCTGAGGGACAGTTAGCAGCAAGAGCACCTTTACAAATAGCTCTAGGTGCTGCAGGTACCATGACACAGTCAATGGAAATAGCTGTGGTAACGAACCG